TAGTTATTTAAAATAATAAATATTAAATAACTCTTATATCTTAGAATGAAACATGAATGATATAGAATTCAGCAATTCGAATATTATAAAAGAATAGCAAGGCATCAATTTTTTATTAAAAATATTGTGTACATTGCACGCATTTTGTATAACATAAAGTTCTCGGGAAAAATGTTTTATATGTATAATTACATATAATTATATATGTAATTGTACAAAATATATCCATACAGTGAGTACAATGAGTTCATACAGTGAGTACAAAAAGTATTTGTTACAGAGAAAATATTTTTTTAAAAAACTTTATTTTAAAAAATTAAGTATTATCCAGCGAGAAATAAGTCATCAAATTGATGTCAAATCAATATCGATACGATAATTTTAACACCAATTTGACGTCGATTCGACATTTAATTGATCATTTCTCGCTGAGTAATTAACAATTTATTCATCAGCTTGCATCTAATGTAGAATGGACTTTAAGCACTATGCGTTATTCATTATGCAAAAGTCTGTACTGTGACCTTGACGCTTGAAAATCCCCGTACATTAGCGACACCAACATCACTTTTATAAAATGATGTAAATTACATATCCATTGTCGATGACACTGCTGATAATGTCGTAATGTCAAAAATTTATGAACGAGCATATACATACATATGTATTGTATATAGATATATATACATATATATAAACTGTTAAAAAAATAAAAATCTTATTATAGATCGGACATGTGAATACACAACCAATAGGAAATAAAGTGCACCATCCCTGCTTAAAAAAATTTGATAAAGAATGATAGAAATTTATAGAAATCTGATAGAAATCCTATATGATTTTTATTTGAACCTATCATACCTATCGGACATTAAAATCTCGATAAATAAAAAAGTTAAAAATTTCTGTTGTTTTATATCTTATATTGTTTAAGGGAATGCTATAGAGCCTCCTATATTACCGATAAAACTAGCGTTTTTGACTTTTTTGTTCCTGTCGAGTTTTTTTGTAGTAATTTAACAGAATAAAGATTCCTTTCCTACGAATAAAATATACATAATGTACATTTTAATTATAAAAAAGGAATTTTTATTTTGTGAAAACACCACCCGAGTACCACTGAGTGGTATTGATTTCTCTCTCTCTCTCT